TTACGATATTTTCAAATAACTAAATTATTTTATTATTAATATTTGTAAACAACTAGAAAATTTTAAAATAATATAAAAAATATAACCGAGTTGAAGAAGTCAACAGCAATTTTTCGGGTATGACTCATTTGTTGGTTACAAGGCAGACAGCTGAAGAGCGAGCAAATACTTTAATTTTCACAATATTTAACAATTCGAAAGTTTTAACACAGCAACATTAAAAGTACATTAAATAGCATATATTGCATTCAAAAAAAATTATTAATTTAAAAAATCACTCATTGTTTTATAATAACTCATAAATGTGTAATGTTAGCAATACAGCAAAATCATAATAGTAAACAGAATAGAAAAAAATTAAAAGCTGTGATAAAAAAAAATTTTGAAAAATTGCACAAAAATCACAATTTAGCAAACAATTAAATAAAAGAAAAATTTCAATATGACAAATGCGTAAATAAACCTTCTGAAAAGCATCAGAAACAATATATTTTCATTTTCAGTACTCCATAACGTCAACTAAAATGCAAAATAACGTAACAACACTTTACACAAGTTTACAGGTGAAGGAAAAACTATAAAATAGAAACTACTTATATTGGAGAAAAATTGCAGTTTTGGTTAAAAAATGGTTATATATTGGTTAAAAAATGGTTATATATTGGTTATATCTAACAACGGCAGCTGAAAATTATATAAAAAACTCAGTTTCCAGTTTTGATGATACATTATTTTGCATTTTAGGTGACGATATTCTATAATATTTTCGTTAGGTTGAAATATTGCTTAATGAATAGGTGATAGTGCCTATGAAAGCGGCTTTAAAAGCAAGGGATAATGTGCGAGCATTTCAAAAGCATAATAAAAACGAAAAAAGTGAAAATTTGTTAAATAAATAGCAGAAAAGGAATAAATAAATAATTAGAATAGAAATTTCGATAGTTAAACACTTTTATGACAAGAAAATATCTGGTGTCACCATAATATTTACACCTTGAGTATTTCCAAAAATATATTGAGCGATAACAGAATAAATAAATTTGTTAGCGCCTATTAAATATTGTATGCCATGTTGAAAAAGAAGTTTTAATTTTTTGCATATGAGAGAATATTAAAATATTAAATACAAATAATTCCCATTCTTATTTTCTCAATTGGTGCTACAAAATATTTTAACAAAAATTTTATAACCGTTTTGAATTAATTTGAAATTTTAAAATATTTTCACAGATATTTAAGATTAAGAAAAAATATAATTTTAAATTTATTTTTTAGATATATATTTTTTTAAATTTAATAAAAAAATATTAATTTAAATTTAGATGTGTATAAGAGACAGGCATAGTAGGTTGAAACCCATCAGAAACGAAAAGTAAAATAAAGGATAAAGGAAGGTAAGTTAACACTAAATTTCAGAAAAGATTTTTTATACAAAATTTAAGAAAAAAAAACACCAAAAATGTGATTGTTGAATTTTTCACCTAAATTTTGAGGTTTTGTGAAAAGGTGTTAATTGTTATTTTGAATAAAGAAAGGTAAGCTTGCAACAAATTTCCAGAAGAAAAAACAAAATTAAAGTAAAAACCCCAAAAACTGAATTTTGAATTTTCACATACATATGTACATATATTTGAGGTTAGGTGTTACTTTGGGCATAGAAAGAAGTTTACAACAAATTTCAAGAAAAAACAATTTTTTAGATACAAAATTTAAGTAAAAAACCCAAAACTGAATAGTGAATTTTTTTAAATTTTCACATAAATTTTGAGGTTATTTGAAGAGATGTTAATTGTTATTTTGAACAAAGAAAGGTATGCTTGCGACAAATTTCGGCAAAGAAAATACAAAGCAAAAGTATTAAAACCTAAAATTAGAATTTTTTTAATTTTTCACATAAATTTTGAGGTTATTTGAATAAGGTCTTAATAAAAAATGTATAGATTTTTTCATTATCTACGATATTGCAATATGACTTTTGTAAATAGCACTCCTCGTTTTGTCAAAAATTGAGATAAACTGTTTTTAACGCTTAAAAGTTCAACCGCCCCCATCCCTTTCCGCAGCCCGATCTCAGATCTCCCGTAATTTATTTTTCCATTCATTTTTGTTATTTCATCTTTCATTTTTAATGGGCTTCCACCTATGTACTTCCGTTTTCAAAAATTTTTTACCTTGGCCTATTAGAGGCAAAGGGCACAATAGACTTAAAACCGTCGCTATCTATTTATCTTTATTAGAGGCAATAAAACCAGAAAGTTTTAAACTTAACGCAAAAATAATGTAATTTAAGCGCTTATGGAAAAGAAAAATATACATTTTAATGAAAAGAAAAATATACATTTTTTTTTTCTCAATTATAAACTTTTAATTAAAATTAAGCCTTTAATTCATCTATGTGCTAGTAGTTTTGAAAAAATATAATATTTTCGAACAATTGAAAATTGCTTTTAGCAAATTAACCACCCACAACTACTTTGTAATAGATATGCATTGCTTAAGATTACAAATAGCCAGCTAGAATGCAACTAATATTTATATTATTAAGCTAATTTAAGTAAGATATGTATGTATGTATGTTTGTACATCACTGCCGTTGAGCCGCCGCAGAGCAAGTCCACATTAACACAAATTTAAGTGTATTTTATTAATAACAAAGATAAAAGAGAAATTACGCTACAACAACAACGTGCAGCAGAAGCTTAGTAACATTTGCACTTGCTGCGAACCACAAATGCTACGCCACTACTGCTACTTGCCGTCTCGCCGCTGCTGCTGCTACAACGATGAGTTAATTTTCCACTCTACGAAAAATCACATGCGTTGTTGTTGCTTTGTAAAGCTTATAAGAAATTGCTGCACGACACAGGCGAGACTGTGGTGACGGGGTCCTGGCAGCGACTTTTCGGTCAGTAATTAAACGCAAACAAAAGGCAAAATCAAATCAGGCTGAAAGTTGAGGCACAGGCACACGCACACCACCGCACGCACACGCATAGTGTACACGTAACGGTGTGACCTTCCAAAGCGTGAGTGAAAGCGCTGCATGCGTAGCATATGCGTGTGAGTGCGGTAGCAATAGTAAAATGGAATATTCCAATTGTGGAAATGGTAAGGCAAAATGCCAATTGGAAATATTACTCCTCAAATTGGAAAAACAGCGAGCACACTGTGTTAAAGTGCGATAGCAGGCACTGCGCATGCTATCACCTTCACGCTTTACCGTTTTATGGCATACAAAGATGGCGCAGACGAATTTTACTTGCCGAGCAACCTACTCGCTCTGGTGCGCAGTGCGCCTGTGTTGTTGTTGCTCTAGTATGTATGTTGCTGTTGTGAGTGCTGCTGGCTGTTAGCAAACAGCAGACACGGTGTCAGCCTCCGCTCAGTTCCGTTTGGTACTTTGCTGTGCGCGTTGTTTCGAATTCGTGTTGTGCTGTGTGGCGTTGTGGCAAACAACAGCCGTCGCTGTCGCAGTTGGAAAAAGACACCAACCACAACGCACGTGTAACGCGCACCAAGTGAGACGAATTGCCGTACGAAAAATATACATATATGTACATGCATATGGCTGTGCACACTTAGCAGTACGCAGCAACAAAAAAGTGGCAATTATAGTGATTTTTTTTCTTTGTGGCCGCTAAAGACAAGTGAATTAGTAATTAAAGCGGAGCAAGCAATAAAAGACGTATTTTCTGTGAAAAAACAAAGAAACTGTTGTGAAAGTGACTGTTTCAGTAAAAACTGTTTTATGAGGTAAAATGTTTGGAGCAGGAAAAGTGAAGTGAAACTTTTTAATTATTTTATTTTTTTTAATTTTTTATGCGAAATGGAGTTAAGCAGAACAATACTTCAAACCACAAAAAAAAAAAACAAAAGGAAAATAAATTACTAACACAAAAATGTATTAAAAATGCAATAATATTAAAATAAATAAATGCATTACGAATTAAAATAGTAAAGAAAAAATTTATAAAAGAATGTATTGATAAATCAAAAAATTATTTTAAGTTAACACACATAAAAGCTATAATTATCCACCAAAAAAAAAAAAAAATCTATAATCAATGTTTAATATAAGGTTCTGATATATTACAAAATAGTTTAA